GTTCTTTTTTATATTTATTTATATATATATATATATATTTTTTATTTAGTCACCAAAAAATATATAGCCAATAGTGAACCATTTATTTTTTTTTTATTTAGTTTTAGTTTTTTTTCTTCTCTTCTCTTGAAAATAACATATATATTATAGTTTCCTTGTATATCTTTGCATATTTATCAAAAATTTTCACTAATGGCAAAGCGATGACAAAAATTTTTTTGTCAAAGGAAAAAAGAATTCTCGTCTCGAAAATATTTATCTGCATCCCGGGTCGTGTTAATGTTCGCATAATTTAATAATAAAAAAAGATAATGCGTAAACATCAATGGGGCCGTTTACGGATAGTAATAAGGTTTAGAGAATTAAAGGCTTTTGCATTTAAATGTTTTGCCTTTCGCCTATTCCCTTCCGTTACGGTTGTAAGTCGGCAGTAAATCTGATTAAAAAAAAGAACGATTAGCAAATAATTTTATCTTGCAGTTCTTTTCGATCAAATCTATTATAGTTCCTTCCCCCCTTCGTTAAAAAAAAAAAAAAAAAAAAAAAAAAAAAAAAATATTTTCTTGTTTCCATTGTTTTCTTTCTTGTCCCTTTATTTTTTTTAGTATACATATATATAATTTTAGCATTAGTATCTAGTTTTTTCTTTTTTTTCCTTAGTTGCTTTAGTTTTTTTTTTATTTGAACATTTTTTTCTTTTTATATATATTTTATATATTTTAGTATATATTATCTTATATCCCGCGATCTTTCTTGCGGATTCAAGAATTTTCTGTTTAGGGAATAGATCTTGCTGGGAAAGTATGATTAGTTCTTTTCTTCCTTCAATGGGATCGCAAAATTCCTTTTGAATTCTTGGAACACATGAAATTTATTCTTTAATAAACCTTCAATTGGTTTATAGAAAAGCATTGGATAGGTAGTTAGTTACATTGGTATCTATGGTGGAAGTGCGTTTTACGATGATGTTGGTCGTGTTTCTTTGTTGGATCGAAATGAACAATTCATGTAAATATAGGAAGGTTTATTGTTTTCGTTGTTAGTAGTTATTCCAATTTCGAAAGTTCGATCAAGTATATGTATTATAATATATTGCTTCTTTATAAAATGTAGATACAACAAAAATCAAGTAATAAAACATCATCAACTTGTACCCTTTATATATATATCATTCCCTTTTTAAATAGGTTTCCCTGATACTTTTTATAAATATATATTTCTTTTCTTTATATACATATTCATTCATATATATTTTTCTTTTTTGTAACTTTTTTTTTTTCATGTAGAATATAAATATTACATGAGTTTTTTTTTCTATTGATCTTTTTTATTAACGATTTATTCCAAAAAACAAATAATAATAATAATGTTCTTTTTTTTTATTTTTTTAATTTAGATGATTTTTAGAGATAAAAATAATTTTAATAAAATACTAAAGGAAATAAAATTATTTTCTTTTGACCTAAAAAAAAATAGAAAACTTATTTTTGAATTTTCTAATTGATTAACAACTTTGCTTTTGACGCGTTCTTTGATCTGCTGCGTAAAAAACTGCGTATAGATTATCTCTAAAATTTTTTCTTTCGCTGCGTCTTTATCTCGAAATTTTATACCAAATACCTGGTTCGAAATTTATAACCAGGAAACTGGTCAAGAGAATTTCATACTACCGCTGATTTTTTTTTAAAAAAAAAAAAAAAAACGACACAGTTCTGGTGGCTTAAAACTGCGACGGTTAGTGGCTTAGCAGATCAAGGATTTTTTAGAATCATGAAAAAATTATAAAAGGAGGTAAACTCCCTCACTTCTCACTTCAAAACCGTTTTGCTCTCTCTACTTGATTCCGCAGTTGAGATTGCGCAGTACTAGATCTAACAAAATGGAAGAACAACAAGGTTTAGACCGCGAGGAGGTTATCTCTTTAATCGCTAGGTAAGTTGAAAAGACAACCTTTTGAATCTTACGATTAGTTGAAAAAACGGTTTGATTGAAATTGTTAGGGAAAGGAGAGTTTACTTTCGTGTTATGATAGATGGGTTACATTATAGATGAGTTATGTAGTTACTGGTCTATAGTAAAGCTAGTGTGCTCGATAAGAGACTTTATAGATTTGTATATATTATTTCCTTTTTTATTATTTTATTTTTTTTTTTTAGAAAGTGGGAAATTTATGACCTGGATGGGTTGAAGAAATTTTTAATTTTAATTTAAATTGTATTAAAATTATCGAATTTCTTTTATTTTATCTTTTTTTTTAAAAAAAAAAATGTATTCCAAAAAAAATATATATTTATTAATAAAATAAAAGATTTTAATATTTAATGATCCATTTTATTATCCATCGTTTTTTTTTTTAATACTACCTTATCATTAAAATTAGTCAATTGCGTTATTATGGGTATACAGAAACAGCCCAATCTTTAGCAGAGGAATCAAATATCCCTATGGATTTAGGTACTACTAGTGCAGACTTGTCAGAATTACTTTATGCGGCAACATATTCGTCAAAAGATGAAGGTTTATGTTATATTATTATTATCCTTATTATTTATTACAAGTGTATCGTTATACTTGATTTTAAATTTCTTTTTATATAATTAAAATATAAATACTTTATTTCTGAATAAGAGGATGATGGAGATGAGGATGAAGAATATGAAATTTCTGCTTTAGTTGAAGGTTCACCTTATTCGGATGAAGAAATTCAGAGTGAAGATTTTCCATCAAAATGTCTAGCCGATTTCGATCCAGAAACGACTCATGGTAATTTATAATTTTTGCGAAAACATTTTTTATTTTTTTAAAAAAAATGTATGTTAAAATTTGTTCATATAGAACCAAAACCGACTCCAAATTATAATCTTTGGTATATAACAACTCATAGAGCTGCTGCCACATGTGTAAGGTTTAAGAAAGATGGTAATTTTCATTGAGCGTATCCCTTTTGTTTTTTTTTAAAAAAAAAAAGTGAGAAATGTCTTTAAAGCTTAATACTTGAATTTAGGAAAGTTTGCTGCTACTGGTTCAGCAGATTCATCGCTTAAAGTTCTTGATACTAGCAAGATGAAAAGTCACTCAGATGAAGATAGACCCGTTATAAGAACTTTATATGATCATACTGGTGTAAGCCGGATAATAATTAATCTTTTTAAATAAGGATATCTATATGTATATATGTATGAATACAAAGTTTATGTAATATCTGTTCTTTCTCTTCTTTTTATAAAAGCGTGTAAATGATTTATCATTTCATCCAAATGGACTTACGCTCGCTTCTTGTTCGGACGATCGTAATATAAAATTATTCGATATCGCGACACAAGGAATTAAACGATCATTTCGATTTTTACGGGTTTGAATCTTAATATATTATTCTTTCCTTTTAAATAATTATTTCTATCGATGCTAATAATCGTTTTTTATTATAGGACAAATATCCGGTCAGATCTATTGATTTTCATCCTACCGGAGAATACATGATAGCAGGTTTTAATGTTATTTATTTTAATTATTATTATATTATATATATATATTCAATTATAAAATATTTTTTTTTTTGTCCTTAGGCACCGATCATGAAGCTATTAGATTTTGGGATGTTCAAAATATTAAATGTTATATTCCATCTAGTTCACAGTCTAACCACAGATTAAGCATAACTAAGGTAGATAACGTTATTTATATTTGGTATACTGAGACATTTGTAAATTACATTATTTCGAAAAATAATATCCCTCCACATCCCCTTTTTTGATCTAGGTTCGATGGAATTCAAATGGTGGACAATTCGTTTCTTCCTCGCTAGATGGTAGCATAAAGATTTGGGAAGGGGAACATGGAGAGTGTATTCAAACAATAGATAATGCGCATAACGGACAAGCAGTTTCAAGCGTAGAATTTTCTAAATCTGGGGCATATATACTTTCTAGTGGTTGCGATTCTACGTCTAAATTATGGGATGCCAATAATGGAAAATGCATTGTAACATTTGAAGGAGCTATACACCGAGTAATTATTTCAAAATTTCAGTAACTTTTTTGGGATGATAAAAATATAAATAAAATTTATTTTCTTTTCTTTTTATTTAGAATAATCACGTCCAAACTACATTTTTATTTGAAGAAGATTACATTATTAGTAGCGATGAAAATGACAATTCTATAGTATGTTGGGATTCACGTACTGGAAAATTGCTTATACGTTGGCCTGGTAAGTTTTAAAATATAACAATAATTTATAATTATTGAATTTACTATTTAACTTTATTATTTTATTATTTTTTTTTTTTTATTATCCTTTAAAATAAAATAAAGGACATACTGGAATCGTTCGATACGTTGCTGCTTCTCCTACTGAATCCGGATTTATGAGCTGCGCGTAATTATACGATTTCATTTCCATTCCATTAATTGATTTTCAATATTCTTCCTTTATTAATAATTAACAAATTTTTTTTTCTTTGTATCAATTTAATAAATTGTTAGTGATGATTTCCGTGTTAGGTGAGTTTTTACCGTTAACTAATTGTATCAAAAAAATAAATAATAATTTTATTTTATTTATATTTATTAGATACTGGAATTTGGACCCTACAACACAAACTTAATTTAAATCCCTATAAACATCATGTATTAGAAATTTTAAATTAGTAATAAATAAATAAAAATTCTTAACTCAAATTAAAAAGCATAATCATAATAATAATTATTAAAGAATAAATATTTATTTCTCCATAAAATAATTTAATTGCTTAAAAGTTATTCATAAAACTTTTCTGATATACTTAAAATTCTTATTTAATCAAATAAAAAAAAAATTATTAATTATTATTGTTGTTTCCATACGAATTATTATGACTATTGTTATTTTGATGAATATATCCTAAATTGTTCGTATTAAGTTTTGATTGCTGAACGTCCCATCCAGGAATGGGTTGAAGGTTAAATTGTTGATTATAAAATGGTAAAGCTTGTATTATAGCGCGATTGGTCGCTACCATATCATATAACATCTATGTTAAAAAAAAAAAAAAAATTGAAATCAACAAATTTTATATTGCAACTTATAATTATATATAAGATCTTTACTGACCCTAACATTCTGTTCTTGTGGATGATTGACAACCTTTCTACGTTCTTCAATAACGGCATCTTGTAATCTCAAGTCTTTACCTAGATTACTTTCTTCAATAAGGTTTTCACGATGATGATGACTGTCATCAACTTTTTCGATTTCATCATCATATTCATCATCAATATTTATAAAAGGTGAAGGGTCAGATGAATTGGATGAAAGTGAATCAAGTTCCATATCTTGTACTTCATCATTTTGAGAAGTTTTTGAATCGCTTGATTGTAATAATTGAAGTAAAGTATTGTTGTTGAATAAATATGAATTATCACGTGAAAAGGCTGATGAGGAAGATTCTGAGAAAGTATTTGAACAAGATGATGATGATCCATGATCGGATGATCCGCCACCACTATCCGAAGAAGTTTTTTGTGAATTTGACGTTCTTTTAAATCCTGACGGTAGTGAAATTCTTGGTTGTGGACTCATAGAAGGAGGTAATTGAAATAATCTTGTTGAGAGTACTTGATGTGCTTTTGAATTCCCGTTATTCCATTCAATATCTGTACTACCATCGCTGCCTGACGTGATCATTGAAGTATCATCATCAATTGAAGATTCTTTGGTGTGAGAGATCTTTTTAGATGAAGTTGTGTTTGATTTATGACGATTATGCCCGTGACGTGTTTCTCTCGTAGGGTGGGAAGTTTGTACTAATACCATGAAATTATCTTCTGTAATAACACCAGGAACTTTAGCAGTGTGTAATTTCTTATAATTTGGTAAATCTTGTTTTGAAATGTTACTTGGTGATAGAGTTTGTGATGAAGAATATTTAGGGTCATCATCGTTGATCACACCATAATTTTTTTTCGGTGACGACTGTACTTGACGAGAATCAAGAGCAATGTCCTTTTTCATTAAATAATTGTTTAATTCATTGTTAGCATCTAAAGAGTTTAAGTCATCAACGGGGTGTTCATTCATATTGCGATTGCATGATTTTATCGGACTATAAAAAAATTTAGAAAGCTTATTAATTTTCTAGATGATGATGATCATACAAAAAATTCAATTAAAACTTTTTTATGATATGGTACTCTACCTTTCGTCATCTGCCTCTTGATCGCTGCTGATATCATCTTCGCTTGTTTCACTTAATTCTATACTATTTCCACCCAAAATCAAATTCGTTGCTCTTTCATAAACCGGTACATTCAATCTTTCTTGAATGACCTCGATATTATCATCGTCTTCAATTGAACGATCGAGCCCCGATAATTGACTTGGACGTGATGATGTTTGTTTATCATCACCATCGTCTATCATTGCGCTCCTACTAAAGTCGGTACAGAATAAACCGCCTTCATAGTAAATAACTGGACCATCATGTTGATCGATTACGCTACTAGATTCATCTGAAGAAGGGGACGAACTATTATTACGATGTAGAAATACAGGACGATAATGGGTTATTGAAGAGGTTACAGATGTTGATTCGGTTTGTTGGTGGTTGGGTTTTGAACCGTTAGATGGAGTAAAAGAGGATGGTGTAATACTTGTAGGGTCAGAAAATTTTTGGAATGGTTTAGCAGAAGGATTTGAGGGTGAAGAATCACTTTGTTTATCACCAATACTATTGCTTTCGCTTACACGACTTCTTGATGTTACGCTACTTCCCCCGCTTTCCATTATATCAACATCTTTGTTTTCTATTGTATCAGGTTTAACGTGATTCAGCCCTGTACGCCATCGAACTTTTGTACCGTCCTCATTTAATTCTAAACAGTTTGAAAATTTTCGAATGGCCTGTTTTATGAATGGCAAAGTAACGTTCATTGTATGTAATTGTGCCATATTCGTCAAAAGATTTAAATAAACGTATCCTTTGGGATCTGAATCTTCTTGATCTTTTAGATAATGATCTTCTGATGATGGTTGGACGGTAAATACATTCTCAATAGCTTTAACGACTTGTTTCATCTTTAATTTATCACTTGCTTTAACGGGAGCTTTTTGATTTGTTATGGAATGATTATCGATTATTGGGCTTTGAGTCAAATTTGCAGAACTTGACGTGGGGGTTGGTAACTAAAAAGTGAAAAGTATAATTAACAGATCAATTATGAAAGTTTGCAAGACTGTTTATATTCTCTTTCACCCTTATAATAACCTACCTGAGCGGCGAATTCTCTGAGATATTCTTCCAATTCTTGTCGCTTTTCTCTAAAATTTTAACTTGTGTCAGCGTATATTGAATTGATAGAGTATAAAATTAAAATATTTCTATACCTGGGCATTTGATAGTATCGAACTTCAAATAATTTTTCTTTATGTAAGGTTTTTGCATGACTGCTATTCATTTTTCGAAGTTTTTGTTTCAATTTTTGATCTTTTATAAAATATGACGTGAATAAAAGTGATCAAAACCTTAATTGACACGAAAGAATTATTATTTTAACTTACTTTTTAAAGTTAAATCGTCAATAACTGAACGATAAGAATCACTGCCTGAAGATCTGTCGCGTTTTTTATGGAAGTTAACATGATGTGGCGACTTTGAAAAGTTACGACTTGATGTTATACGATGTCCATGGGCGTAGTGCCCGGTTCGTTGATGATATCTTGATGTTATAGACGACTGTTGATTTGACACGGGTTTAGGATGATATTTGTAAGAATTTACGTAATAAGGGGTTTCGCTATCTAAAATTCAAAATTTTGATAAAATGTATGGTAAAATAGTCATTTGCCAAAAATTTATAAAACTTTAATATATTGTTCACGCTTTTTGTTATTGAATCGACCCTTTTTGATATGTAAGAAGTCTTTTATTGTATTTCATTCATCTGATTCAACTTGACACGTAAACTTACCATCATCAAAATTATTTTTATTCAATTCTCTAGTATTTTGATTAAATTCCTTAAACCATGCTTCAGTAGTAGAAATTGAACTTGTACTTTTCTTTGAACAAGTTCTATTACAACTTCTACTTCCGTTCCTTCCTTCTACGCTCGTTTCGTCCATTTCTCTTTCAATGCACGAGGACTCTCTTGGACTATTAGCAATACTTGATTCGTCCGAAAGAAACGAGTTAATTTCAGATTCTTCAACGTCACTCCTTGTCTGCGAATTATATCTATGTTGAGATACATTCCGAGCCGTGGACATTGTAGTTTGTCTTCGACGAACATTATCATAAATCTTTGTTGTCTTTAGAGAATCCATAATATTATTGATTTTCTCTCTTTTTGTATAAATACTTATTTTTTTATTTAAGGTTAACCAAAATTTGTTAAATTTTTTATTTTTTTTATTTTTATTTTTTTTTAGAAAAAGACTTTCTTTTTATTAAAATAGAAATTATCAAGAAATATTATTCTTGTAAAATGGTTTATTTGGGTAGCTAAGCAAAGGTCAGGAATACTCGTACAGAAAGAGAAATAAATCGGTTACAGAACAACATAAATATCCAAGAAAATGATTTGGCGCAAAATTTAGCATTTTTAAAACGAAACTTTGTGATTTAGAAATATGGGTAATTAAAAGAGTTGTTAAAACGGAAAGATATTAAAAGTATGGAAATTTTTTCTTTTTTAAGGGAAAAAAAATGAGAATCGATTTTTATACCGAAAAAATATTTAACGGTTAAAAAAACTTTGATTTTAAAAAATGCAGAATTTTAATTGATTGTCGATCTGAGTAAAAATTGTTTTATTTTCGATTTTTCTCGATTCCAATAATTTTCAATAATCCACATTACGTTATAATGATGTCATAATGTCATAATTATATTTAACTTAATATAGGTAAAATGCATATCACACAATACTGAGTGCTACCTTAATATTTTCCCGACATATTTAATTATATTTAATTAATGATATAATTAAGTTGCGCAATAGTCGTCATAGATTAAGTATTTCAAGAACGTAAACACGGGATTTGGAATATCATAGAAGGTTCTTAAATTGCACCATTATACCCGATCCGCGATTAGATCGGTGAATTTTTTTATGCAAATAACCAATCAGAAAAAAAAATTTTTTTTTCCGTTATTATCCCTCGGATCTAAAATCTGATGTTTATAGTTAAGCCTCCTATAAAAATGATTTGACAATTTACAAAAGCTTAATACAAATGCAATTTTATATAATAATAGTAATAAATTTTTGTTGATATATTATATTTTTGTATAAATATTATCATTAGATCCTGATTTAATAAGATTTTTATTTTATATTAAATAGATCAAATAAGACAAAATCTAGAAAAATGAATATTAAAATTTATTACATATTCTTTTTAAGGCATTTGAAATGATGAAAGAATAGTCTAATTTTAGGTTCAAATATTTAATATATTTCTTATATATTCTATCTAAGATTTAAGTTACTAGTGTCTCTTTAGATACTGGCACTTAGATAGTAATAACTTTTACTTTGCAATTACTTTTTTAAGATCTTTAAACTAGCTTGTAATACTTTGAGTCAGCTTGACTAGCCTTTTCTAATGATACTATTCCATTGCTTTATATTTTTTTTGCATATGTATCATATATAATCCATTCCTATAAGAAATTTATATACAGAATTATATACAGTAATCATATGTTTTAATATTCATAAAAAATGTATAAAATATACTGAAATTATGTATAAAATGTATGTAATTATTACGTATACAAAATAAGAAAAATGTCAGAATTACAAATATATAAAATTCATAAATTACGTATATTATATAAGCTATTACAATACATTAAATATGATTTATCTGTAAATATTATGCACTATTTTCAGTACATTAGATACATTATTTTCAGTACATTAGCTACGCTATACTCAGTACATTAGATATGTCATTTTTAGTACATTAAATACACTATTTTCAGTATATTAGATATGTTATACTCTATATATTTATCTGTATATATTATACATTATTTCATAATTTTATATTTATTATATATTATAAAAATATTTATAATTTTATTTATATATAAAATTATTATAAAAAAATATAAAAGAAAAATAATTATAAAAAATGTATTTATTCTTTATTAATTTGATATCAAACTTTAAATATTTAAATTGTTCAATTAAACAAAATATATATTTAATAATTTTATATTATAATAATTATATTAAATAAATAATTAAATATTTACCTTCGTTTCTTATTTCCAAATAAAATTTATCTATTCTTGCTCTTGAAATGATTATTAATTTGTAATTTCTTTCTTTTAATATTATAATTATAATATTTTATTTATATTAATTTTAATTAGAAATTTTATTAAAATTTTTTAATTCATAATTCTTACCACTTTTTAATGATATTGCTGTAACAACTGCTGCTAACTCTTTTTTCTTTGCCGCTTTCTTTTTTTTAATATATTTTCTAATACAGTTAAAATTATGATTAATTTATCTTCAGCTTCTTCTACAATTGTTTTACTCTCATTTTTTTTTAGCAGCAACAATAGCAATTACAGACTTTACAATTGCAGCTTTTACAATTATTATTTCTTCTTATACTTCTAATTCTTTTAAATCTTTATTTTTATTTTTTTTATTATTAATATAGTCTCAGCAATAGTTTAAATATTTTTTTATAGTTTTTTTAATAAGTCATCCTTCTTGTCCAATATTAATATTTGTATTTCTTTTCTTAAACTACAAGTAAACAAATTAATATTCTAAATAATT